ATATTTTTGAAATTGAATTATGCCTAATCAAAAAATGAAACAAACTGAATTTATTGAGAGATTTATAATAATTTTATTCTCTTCTGAAATAAAGGAGATTTTTCGGTATATTTTACAAGTCACTTTATCAAATGCAAATTTTAATATTATATATTTTCAAGAAGTTTTATTTTTCTTGTCATTAGTCTGAAGATCCATGGTGAGTAAAGAGTGTCTTGACGCTGATTATTGTGACATTAGCAATTTCGTTTTATGATTTCAGTTCTCCTTCGAGAATTGCAAATTCCATATCGAGAAGGTGAAAGAAGGCACTGGCAGAGTGGTTGTATGGTCGATGGGCATACAAAATAGTTATACCATGGAGGCTTCTATGGGCGGTTCTAAAATCGGCTCAAGATGCGGAACGCATTTTTCTATTCAAGATTACGAACAGATCGGCAAGGCATTTTGCGAGACCCTACTTGACTTTTCCGATCAAGATCCCATGAAGGTAACATTATCCGATTAATACTTCAATCACATTTGTTTGAAAAAAAAATGAGACTCAAATAACAACTTGTCGCTTAATTTATCCTTGTACAAACAACAATTAAACGCAAAATAAAATTAAAAAATCAAATCGACATCTATTCGTTTATGCTACTTTCTCGGATGGACTTGTATCTCTTTCTTCTTCTCTCTTCTGTCTCCTCATGTAAGTAATATCAAATTAATTCAATAAATAAAACTTATCATACTGCTGTGAATTAGAAGCATTTGAAAATTATATCATTTAAAAATTTCTAATTTATGTAATTCTAATGAATCAGGATGAATGATGGATCTCTCGCAAACTTGACTCGATAGGAAAGACTCCGAAATAAAATTATAGCCAGATTAGCGAAGGAGGGATCCAATGCTGAAGAGCCTATCAATATCGATTTGACCGACTATTCAAGGTATATATATTCTTTCTGATAATTCATATTTTATTTATCCTATATTATCTCAAATAATTTATACAATTAAAAAAATCTTTTCTAGCGACGAAGGAGATATCTCACAGGAGAGTTTCTCATCGGAAGAGGGTAGGATTGAGTACATGGATGCTGCGTGGTCCAGCGAGGGCGGAGAGTTCTTGGCGAGTCGCCGTCGGTATCTTTGTGTGCCACCACCGTCGCCGACCTTTGTCCCACCGAGAAGCGTCGGTCTTTACAAAAGAAGAGCACGAAGGGACATCGCGGGAAGAATTTATTTGGAGCGCAAGAAAAATCTGGTATATATCGCTCATTTGCTATAACAACAACATAATTTAAAAAAATGAAATTTTCCAAAAAAATAAGTTTGAATGTTTTAAATCATTAAAATTTTACATAATATTAATTTAAAAATATAACTTTAATGTCATAATTGATTGATGTAGAGAAATAAAAAATTATTTTCTTTTAAAATTTGTTTTTTCTTTATATTTCTTTTTTTTTGCAAGCAACTAAAAAGTGACGTTAAATATAATAAAAATCGTTATATTGTCAATAGGCACGACGAGCGGTAATGGGTTTGCCGACCACAGATCCAGGTAGCGATCTGTGTGATCTGACCGACTCGGCTGATGAAAGTTTTGTTAGAAGCGAGGGAAGAGAATATGATGGTACGAAATCGAAATAAATAATTATATCGGTTTATGTTATATGTTGTGCATGCGTGTCTTACAGATGTATGGAAAAGTACGCGACAACATCGAGAAGAGATAATCGAACTCTCCGAGCGAGAGGTAATCGAGAAAGAAGAACGACAAGAGAAAACATTGGTCTTACCGGAAATTGTGAGACCTCGCAGCGTATCTTTTGGAGAATTACTACCACGGAAAGATCACCGGAAGACTCGGCAACACCCGCGATGTCTTCGGTACAGACTATTTCTTTACTAAAAATATAAAAATATAAGAAGAATTCATCGACAGCTGCCCACACATTTAATCATAAAAATAATTATGTTGAATGCTTAAACGTTGATGACAATGTTGTAAAATATTATAACAATCAATTTGAGTATCCTACATAATTATTTTAATAGTCCAACAAAACATTATTTACAGATTTGTATCTAGTTAAATTTCTAGATACTTTAGCAAATTTTTTTTACTTTTAAACGGATTTCCTTTGCAAAGCAATGTTTATTTTATTTTGTAAATTTATTACAAATAGCTATTTAGTTTCATCAGTTTTTCGATTATTACCTCGTGATCATCACAGTTAATTGGAGCGAGTGAACAGTGTTCATCATAAAGAATGCGTTTCTTCATAAAATCACGAATTGTGTTTGTCAGAATGCTGAGAAATCCATCGCCGGTATCGCCGATTAGTCAAGAGGTGAGAATCAAGCTCACATCTTTGAGACGGCAGATCTGGACTGGTGTGTCGACCAGCACCGCCGCCGACGAGAACAACGAAGCGGAACGTCTCGTCGACACATTTGTTAAGATGCCGTTGAGCTGGGGTGTCTCCAGACACGCTCTGTTGCACTATCCCACGGACGGCGAGGTCACATTAAAGTGAGTCGATTTATTACTCAACTTATCGCGCATACAGCATCTATAGAAAATGTTCGTTGCATGTTTCGATGGAATTAGATATATGCCAGAATTTTTTTATTTATTACATCGCATGTGTCGATTTCGCAATTCAATGTGCTTCGGGATTCTCCGCGAAGAGGAACTGAAAAATGTTCTAGTTAAACCAATAGAAAAACTCAACAGTAGTTTGAATAGCATTTTGGTAAGGCTAAACAGAATCATAACTAGTTTGTTTAGCTTCAACCAAAACGGGTTGGACCTTTTTGTTGGTGTAATCAGAACATTTTTCTATGTGTACGCATAATAAATTTACGCTTTTGACGCATCATTTTTTCAGGCCGCAGTCCAAGAAGCCGCAGTCGCTTGTCTACGACGCGGACGACAAGGACGACGCGAGGAAAACACGAAAGAAATTGCGGAATGCGCAATCCCAATTGAAGACATCCGCGCGAACAGACGGGCAGAAATCATCCAAGAGGAAGAATGCGAAGCTTGACTGGCAACGAGCAGTGAACCTAAACTCCCGGGGCAAGGATACAAGAAATACAAGAACCTCCTCTTTCTTGACGATTGAAGCGGATTCGTTGAAGCTGCTGGCCACGTCAACGGTGTCCAAACAGCCACAGCGACCGCAGCGGAAACTCGAGTCGCGCCGAAAGTTTCGTGGTGTCGGTGCGGTGGCCTCCACCTGCGTCGGCGTCGGGGTGAAGACGAGCATCGACGCGAAGATAACGAGAACGCGAGCGTGCCGTCGCGACGTCTTCTGCGAGAGTACGACGTCGGACGATGACTCGTCAGATTCGGGCAAGCCGAAAGTTGTAAAAAAAAAACAGAAGAAGAAAAAGCAACAGCAACAAACCGTCCAACATCCGCCGTCGAGGAAAACAAACAGAGGAACTGAACAAAGCAAGCGGGTCTGCAGCGCGAAGACCTCGCGCAACAACGTTTGAGAATTATTTTTTTTAACAAACTGCGAGACTGTATTGTTAGTCCTCCTTATTATTTGAGATTTTGAATAATTTGAAGAAAATCTCTCCTTGATTATTATTATCATTTTCTATTTAATATTATTAATCCTAATCGATATTTGCTTCGAAATTTAATTCCTTAACTGATTCTATTCGGGGATCTAGTGTACTTTAAATTAATATATTTTTGCTTAAAGGTAATTGAATAATTTTTTTCATTTTAAGGATTAGAATTCGAGGGATAAGATTATGTAACTTAAAATTATGTATGATTATAAAAAAACATTTGATATAAATTTTTTACGTAGTTAAAGAAAATCTTCCAGGATTCGCGAATACTGATTAGGGTTAAATAGTATAATAACACAATTACACACTATATTAATATAAAAGTTTAGTATCTGATATTGATTAAGACGTATGAATATAAAACTGTAAATATTGTAATTATAATTTTACGACTCGCTTCTGCCAATATGAATTAATTAAATTAATATCTATTTCTTCCAATGTAGATTAATTTTAATTTCGGTTTATGTACTCTTATCTTTTCCTCTAATTCTTAGAATTAGAAAAAAATAAAAAGTAAATTAAACTAAGGTTAAAGTTAATTTACATAGAAATGGACACAAAGGCAATTTCGTCTAATAACTTTAATTAACTTAATTAATCTGCCGTTAAAATCAGGAAAATTTCTAACTATATAATTCGCCATAATCTTAACTTTTTTTCATGTCGGAAAACAAAAAATTAAAAATACTATTTAAAAAATAGTATATTATCTTACATAATTATCGATTAAGTTACTTTGAAATTATATTTCAAAATTAAGTAAATCGTTAAGCGCAGGACGACATTAATTAATTAAGATAATTAAATAATTACTCCCCAGCAAACATGCTGACGTTATACATTGTTAAAATGACATCTAAAATAACATAAAAATAATGACAAATAATGTCAACTAGTTTGCTGAGAAGTAATTACTTAATTGGCATTTAATTGGTAATTAATTCAATTTGGCAGTCATTTTAAATTGTGCATCACTGCCCGTAGCTCAAGAAGAATATTGCGCGATCAATCTCAGCGGAGTTGATCTTCGAATTTTCGATAGTTTTGCGCCCGCGAAATCAATTGACATGCGCTAGGAGTGTCGCAGTCGCATCACGTGCTCACGGATTGACAGCATGACGTCGCCATGGCGACACGCAAGCGCGTGGTAAACAATTCACGGCCACTGCGCGGCGCGGATCAAAACGATCACGTGGTTCACATGACGACCGTCGCGAAGCCATAGGATAGATTGGTCGGTCGTCATCTTGAGATCGGCGTCGCGTAACCTCTCTTCATCCAAAACGTCACAAAAATCAACAAGAGTCGACTTCTTCGCTGAGCGTGATGCAAGTCACTCTAGGCGATCAGTCGCGAAATCGAGATCGGAAATACAGGAATGAAAACAGAAATTGGCAATTATGTATTACCTGTGATGATCCGAATGTTTCGTCAAAAAACTGACAGGACGTGATGCATGCTCCTTTTTTCCTTTCTATTTCTGCTCTGTGATTCGAACACGAATGTCACGAACACGTGCGAAAAGTCGACTGGAGAATATCAACACTACTCTAATCTTTACGTCTTCGCAACGCTTGCTGCTTTGCGTGACTGATGACTAATACAAGTTCAGAACTCAATGAAGGGTTCTCGTGGTGCCATCTTGCAGCAACAATTTGTTTTCACGCTGTTGGCGGGAGATTCGATTTTTTTTTTTACCGTAACTGGAATATCGAGAAATCGATTGTGTATCTTGAAATGAGATGAAAATTATAAAAATGAACAAATTCACCAGATGTTGATTAGATAATATGAAATTATAAATATTTTAGTAAATATTCATTCACTTTTTTAATTTTCACTTTATTTTAAAATATACAATCAATTTCCTTGTATTATATAATTATATATTATATATTATATATTATATAATCGAAATTCATAGTCTGTTCTTATTTCAAGATTTTTAGTAATATCTTAAAATGCTAATACTGTTTTTTCTGATTGATTAATGAAACTGTATTTATAAGACAGTGAAGTAAAGTCTTAAATTCATTAAGTCTTAAAACATTAAATTTTAAATATAAGGACTGACTATGAATTATATATTCCGACTTATGTATTCATAGTAAACATCAACTAAAAATAACATCAATGTTATAATTTCACACTTACCTAGTGAGAAATGTCTATCAATTCGATGTCGAATCGACATTTATTTAATGAGTTATTTTTTGCTGAAAATACACATATATACTTAAATAAACATATTTAATTTAATTTAATTTAATTTAATTTATAATATAATAATATAACGTGTGTTACGTAATAAGTAATTATATTACTGTATAAAATTTTATAACTCATTGATATTATATTATGTTACTTTTACAGTTGATGATATTTATTATCAGATATTTATTATTACATAAGCTTTCGCGGATATTAGAAAAGTTGTGTAGATATACATGTTGTTGATTTGATCGATCTAAATAATTGAATAATTAGCATATTTTGCGTATTAAATTCAATTTATTAGTATCGCTTCGTAAATCAGAATGTTTTTATGCTAGAATATCTTAAGTCAGTGTCATTGTATATTTTCTTGCTTGATTGCTTGCATTTTAATAAATTACTAGAAAATAGAATTCTGTGTGACGTAATTTATATTAATAATTTATACTAGCAATACAGCAAAAAAATGCATCGTGTATCATATTATACATATTGCATTTTTTCCCATCATATAATTATTATCCGCTATAATTATTATCATATAAATATTATTAATATTATTATAAATAATTGAACCCAATTGACAACAATAAATGTAGAATTTAAATAAAAATTGAAAAAAATTTGGATAATATGGAACGTAAGGATAATAAATTATAAAATTAATATTAAATATTAATGACCTGACTGATGATTTGCGCAATGATTTCCATAAGAATCACTTCCACTGTTGTTTTTTATCATAACGATATCTTATTGTTGGAGATATAAAAAAATGAGCTATTTCTTTTTTTATTACTCGAATGGATGTTTTTTCGAAAATTAGAAAATTACATAATTAATAGAGGAAAAGCCCCTATTATGAGTTCATTTTAGGTAAATGCTAGAAGTCTATGGGCAGAATTTTAAAAAATAATAGGTCATTTTGAAGAAAATTTAATAAGCTAATGTTATATAAAATTTAATTCAAATTCCATTTTTTTTTAAATTAAAGAAATGTAAAAAGTGAACAAATCGCAAAGTCAAAAAATTGTGCTCCTAATATGAGTTGTCCCGAGAAATTGATAATAAAACATAAAGTATATCAGCAACTAAAAAATTTTATTTAATATTTTTTAAATACAAACAAACAGCCAGCGTGCACGAAAAATGAGCATGCGATGCATTATATCCAGAACTCATCATCAGGTAGTTGAAATCAAGCATCGCAGAAATAGATACTCGACATTCATTCCAGTTGTTCTTTTTATTATTGTACAATAACATATACTTTACTAGCGATTTTCACTATGACATGGGAGCATGAATTATTTCATATTAGAAATATCCTTAGAAATATGAGAAATATCTCATATTACGATTTCCACGCCTTCCGGTTTTACGATTATCAAATCTAACTTTTGTAATTAAGCAATTCAATATGTCCCATATTTTTCTATACTTTATATTTTTTCTATATTTTTAATACGATCTTACTCTATCACTATATGAAGAATTTATTGCTAAATATTTATTTATTTTTATTAAATAATAAACAAGATTTAAAGGCTCATCTCAATGAAAGACATTTAAATCTTGAAGATATCTAAATTATAAAATCTTTTTTTTACAACTGACTACAGGCTATCTATAATGAATTTTCTACTAAATAGTTTTTAATCTAAGAACAATAAATTTATGATGGAACCAATAGATAGTTTTATTTAACAGAAACACTATTATCTCATATTAGGCGCCTATCTCATAATAGGGAGCTTTCCTTTATATAGATAAATAAATTCCAATAAAAATATATATATATATATATATATATATATATATATATCTTATGACGGAATTCATTTTAAGCTCTTTATAATTTGTGTTGGAATTCAGGTAAAAAATTATCAACATGATTTAAAGATCTAATAATAAAATTCAATTGATTTCTGTCGAAATTATAAACAGAGTTTATCATTTCGTGTAAAATATATTACAAGACAAACGTAACGACATTATCGATTCGCAAGACAATGAAATGCAGAAAATCAAGATTATTGAATCTTAATATATTTTACACAAAACTATAAATTCTGTTAGCACTGAGACATTATCATGTTTGTAGTAAGTGTGATCTGATATTAAAATGCATCCATTAACATATACATAAAGAACACATATCTATATTCAAGGAAATTTTCCAATGCTTCTAGCATTATTTCCAGAGATTTTCCAGTAAGAATTTTTCCACTTCTATTTCTAGTATTATCGGAAAATTCTTCATAAGCTTCGACAGAAATCAATTAGATTTTATTATTAGATCTTTAAGTCATGTTGATAATTTTAAATATAATAATATTATAAAAAATTTCAAACGTAATGGGCTAAATCATAAAATGATATATTTTTATTTGGAGATTATATGTTGAAAATACTGAGAGATATAAAGTATTAAGATATACAATTTGATAATTATAAACAAATAAAATTATGTACAATTAATATACAATTCGCTGGATAATTTTTCAATGAACAATGTGATATTACATAGATTATAGTAATGTTAAAATAAAATGAAGTGTTGATCAAATTAATAGTGTTTTTCATTGGCTAGTGTGTACTCAGCGCACTTTAAAGCCGTTGTACACAAATCGACATAAAGATGTATGTTTAATAGAAACGAATTAAACTGCAAAATTCTCAATATATTCTATTTGATGAAATTTACATTGAGCATTTTATTAGTTGAAATATCTTACTTTTACATTCAGATTAGAATAATGTATAACAGCTTTAACGTGCGCATTAATTCTGTCAATGAACAACGCTATAAGATCCCAATAAACGAGAATAGATTGAAATAGATTGAAATGGATTTAGATTTTCAGAAATACGCATTTACGAACGTTAAAATAAATTTTTTTCAATTTGAATACATTTTTTTTCATTTTTTTTTGCATGAAGCATATTTCTGCGTATTTAATTCAAAATTTTGAATAGAAAACGTTGTTTTTCAATCTAATTGAATCCAGTTTAATAAACAGTTTTTTTTATTTAATTGAATGGACTTAAAATATGTATATAAAATTTAATTCATTTTAATTTATTCGTAAGTGTACAAACAATTTTATTTGTATTTTTTGACAAGTGTGTAGGAAAATTCATAAAGAAAAGATAAATATAAAATTCTATAGATAAGTAAATTCTAATAAATAAAATATTGTTACAGAAAAAAAATTATATGAAATAAAATTCTGTAATTGGTGAATTGGGACTCGCGAATAATATTATAAAAAAGACCATGTGTACAAAATTTTTATGCTATATTAATGTATGTACAAGACAACTCGCAAAAAAGTTGAAGAAGTTGATATTTGCATTGAGGTCATACCGAGTCGTAACCTGGACCTGGACATCCGCCCAGAACTGAAAACTTGAATAAATCAAATAAATTTAAGGAGCGTCAATACGGTTAAAATTAGATATTGAACTCTAATATATATATATATATATATAAAATATATTTTTATATAAATAAAGCGTCTTTGTATTTAATTAATCTATTCAAATAGTTTTGTTTATAATAAAAGAAATAATATTGTTTATGCATACTGCCTTTCAATGCGTACTATTTAAGCATATTGGTAATTGTGACAAATATTGCAAGGTCCGGTGATCGAACGGTAAAGATGCTCGCACGGGAGATACGTGTTTAAATCTCAGCCGAGATAATATTTTTCACAATAAAAGAGAGAGAGAGAGTTCTATACAAATTTTAAGAGGCTTATAGTAGCATCAAATTAAAGATCTAATTAAATTGAGAGGATTATTAGTATTTCAAATTGATTGAGTTGAAAGAACGGAAATCATCAACTCGCAGTACTCTACACTATTATTTCAGGAATTATTTTACACTTCTACGTAATGAATCGGACAAATGTCTTAGTTTGTCGCATATAAAAACTATAAAAATTTTTACGCAAAAATATAAATTTAAAATTTAGATTTTTAAATATGCATTTTGTAGAAATAAATAGATTTTTTGGCTGAATAGTACACTTTTAGAATTTAAAAGGATAAAGATATAATATATATTTGTAATATTTGGCGAAAATAAAAAAGAGAATAGTATAGTGCAGGATAAATAAACCTTAAA